CTCTTATGTGTGTAAGTTACATATGCATTTTAAAAAGAGGAAAAAATTACAGATTTTTTATTTGAGACTGTCATTGTTAGGAGGTTTTTTTTTATTTTCTAATGCGTAAATATAAGTAATATAAACAAAATTTACTAACTCCAGGTTGACTTATATCAGGCCCTCCATTTAGAGTCACAGTAATTAGGAAGTCACAAATATCCACACATACTCACATTTGGCAAGCTGGTGAGCATGTGTGTGTCATGAGAACCCACAGATTGGTAGGCATTTGATGTACAATACAGAGTTTGACCATGGCACCAGAGAGAGTCAGGGGCAGAGTGAGAGGCTGGTAGGTGTTAGCTGGCTCTGCCGCCTGCTACTTGTGTGATATTGGGGAAAGAACAACAACCACAAAAAATAAAGTCAGTGGGTTAGGAGAGAAATAATGCTTATCACCATCAAACACATAGTAAGTGTCCTTAGGTGTAACCTTTACAGTTATTGTCACTGTCCGTTATTATATAGAAATATCAGCTAGAAGTGACAATTTGTATATTTCTGGACTTCTAAACTTCTTGGCATTTAAGTTCTTATTCTTTGATTTAAAAGATGAAAACCACATAATAATAGACTACAGAGAGAAGATGCCTCTTAGAATAGGAAATGTAAACTTAAGGTTAAACTGCTTCCTTGCAGAAAATGAAAAACAAAACATCCTGGAGAAGAGAATCTAGAGGTGCTACTTTTGTCTCTGAGACATTCCCCTTGCATGCTTATTTATAAATCCATTTAGCAGAATGCCCAGAGGGTAAGTGGTGAAAGCCTAGGGCTTAGATAGAAATGCAAAGGTCTTGAAACCTGAAGTGAAGAAAAGCATATTCATTTAACTTCAAATAAGGCCACAGGCTGAGTTTAAAATTGAATTTTAGTAGAGTTTGAGTAAACATATCAATAGGTAGTGTAGCTTTCTTTGCTTTGGTGTGTCTGTATTGGGGGACTGGATAATAGATTTAGAATTTTGCTAGTCAAGATACTCTGATTTAGAAATTAGACAAATACGTCATAAAATATTATGTAGAATAGTTTTCAATTCAACGCTGCGTAGCTTAGGTGGGATGTGTCTGAAAGTCTTAGGCATCAGATTCCTATGTATCATTTTAGTTTAATGTCTTTACTGTTATAGAAACCTTTACATTTGATTCATATTTTTAAAATGATTTTCTTTTCTCAGATCACTATTTTCTAAACTAAATACAGTGATAATCATGCTAAATTAAAAAAAAAAACAGCAGCCAGTCATTGGTTATAGTATTTTAGAAATTATGAATTATGTGTTTTTATAGTAGTATATCTCCAAGATTTTAATATTGTGTTGTGTACCATTAATATCTTCTAGTACCAGGGTTTTCTCCAACCTGTTTGACCCCAAAATCTCTTTTTTCTGGTCTACCGTACATAATTGGCCTCACTTTCAACTAATTTTGCAGGGAAACTCCTGATGATAATATGCACACACACACACAATAGAATATGATTATTTTGATAGAATAGATCTACTGGTTCATAGGGGAAGAACTAACAAATATGTTAAAATATTTTTAAGCAAAATATTTTATTATAATGCTAAATAATTATAACTTTAGGCAAAATGATCAAGTTAGCTGTCCATATGTTCCTAGATTTGATAGTAGATGCTACTTTTAGTTACACAGCCTGTAATATCATTTAATGAAGCATTTAACAATGGAACTGCATACTATTTAGACATCATTGTTTCATAATTGCTCACTGTAAATGGTCACAAACATGTATATATAATATCTCAGATTGTTATGTATTTTAATTAATAAAATTTTAAACTTATCATTCTGTTGGATTACATTCCTAAAATGATAAAAAATCATTAACTTTGGTAGTATACTTATGATTTGAGAAATATATGTGTAAAATATAATTCTGTAAAGTTTTTTTCCTTAAGTATACTGGGAAATAAAATGTGTTCCTGAAGAATACACCACTTTGCATTTTGGAATCTCATTTTATAGCCACAGTGATCAGCACATCATTCAATTCAAACAAAAGAATTTAATCTGGAGAATATGTCACATTTGCATGAAGTGTCTGGTTTCAAAATACCTCCTACACAATTTTGGATTGAATGCAGTCACTGCTTTCCAGTGTAATTGAAAGACCAAAATAATATCTTTCTCATCAATAAGACAAAAACTCAGCACTAGGTATTTTCTGGAAGCATCTCTGATATAAATATGCAGTATATTTATATTTCAGAGTAAAAGAGAATTTGAATATTCTTTAATGAGTTGTAGGTATAATTTACCTTATTCCCTGAAAGATATCGGCCTTTTTTAATGCACAGGACACTCAAACAGAACACAAGGACACAACTGCCTCTAAGTTGATGACCTCTTTCTGCTTTTTTCTTTCAGCTTATAGCTGAAAGGAAAATGACTCTGTAGCTGTTGTTGTGGAAGTTTTAGTGGCATTTTAAAAGTGATGTTAGAATCACCCTGTGGTGAATGAGAGCTAGTGAAAAGACCTGAAGACAAACATTTGTATAGCTCCTAGCTGGCTCTAGCTCTGTGCATTGTTAATTTCGGTTTTGTGAAAGTAAAGGTGAGGTGGGGTTGCGGAAAGTTTGGAACCTTGGTTCAAATAGAATCATGGCGTTATGTACGGAGAACCATACTGAACCATGTTCTGCAACCTTTCACACTACTACCATCTAACAGGTCCATGAGATACTGTAATTTTAAATTTGTTTTTAATATTTGGATTAAGGCACCGAATTGAATTTAAAATGAGTTTAGACTGTTAAGACATGAAAAGATAATAATTTCAACAAACAATTCAAATGTCCATCAAGTGGAAAATGTATAAATGCATTTTTAATGTATTATACAAAGGAATGCTATTCAGCAATACAAAGGAATAATGCAGTGAAATATGCAGCAAGGATGAAAGGCAGAATCCCAGTGACAGAAAGCAGATCAGCAGCTTCAGGGACTGGGAGTGCTGGGCGGACATAGACTACAGAGGAGCCAGAGGACACTTTTCCAGGCAGTGGAAATGTTCTGTTTGATAATTATTTGTAGCTACATCCATTCATCAGATCTCATTAAATTGTGCACTTAATATTGGTGAATTTTATTGCATGAAAATTACACCTAAATAAAAGTGATCAAAAAGACAGTAAGATAGAATTCAGTAGTAAGTGAGGAAGGATTCCTACAATTTATTCATTCTTGGAAGTGTACATAAAAATCAAAGGGACAGCCTGAGTTTCACCCAGAATCTAGGCAAGGATTAACATCAGATAAGTTTAAAGGAAAGTGGAACATAAAAATGTACACACCACACACACACACACACACACACACACTTGAGTTCCTCTTGGCCACTGTTAACTGTCAAATGTGCAAACAACTAGCCCAGTGTGTAGCATCTAGAAGGCACTCTAATGAATCTCACTGCTGTGATTTCTATTGCTGCAGTTGTTATTTAGAAGGCTACATTAAACATTCCTAGACAACATAATAAGGAGGAATTAATACAGGACAGAAACTTTCCCCTATCTGTAAGTGGAGAGAGCCTATGAGTTAACTGAGTCCAGTGATTTGAAATATGCAAGAGCTAATGCAATTTATCAATTTCTTACTTAGGGAAATTAACTATAATATGTAACAGAAGCTAAATATTAGTCATTATTTCTTATACATGTTTGTAGCTGTGTTTGTGTGTGTGTGTGTGTGTGTATGTGTACAATCATTTTGAGTTATCTCAAGCCAAGATGAGGACTATCACAAGAGCTTTCAGTTAAAAATTTGTTTATACACCTTCAACAGAAATCATAGATATACATATTATATATAACATATTTACATATATAACAATATATGTGATAGATGATATATAATGTCTATCATTCTATAGCATATATGTTAACCCACTATATCACATACAATATATGTGATATATATGACATTGAAATGATTTTGAAATGTTTTTTGACCATATGAGAAATGGAAAGAGTACCAACAATGACTACAGGAATGTGAGGGTCATGTTACCTTTTACCACCACATGTGCTGCAATACAGTAAATACAGTAGTCAGAATGTATTGATTGCTTAATGTACATAGAGCTGATCATATAAAGTCAGTTTCATAAATTTTCACATATAATTCTCATCACAACTTTAAGACGTGACCAAAGAATTTACATAAGAAGTAGATCATCTAACTCTAATAATTGAGAATTACTGGTATGAACCAGAGCACAAAGTCTGGTGAAGGGATGTGGGTTTTAGCAGAGCTGTGTTGCTAATACTGTGTTTTATTGTTGCTTGTCCTGTTCTGGAATGAGATGGGGAGTGAAAACTTATAAACTGATTTAAACTTTCTGAAACCCACTAAATATGTACATAGGATGTCAGTGTACATTAGGTGATCAATAAATGATGGCTGAATGACTTAATTAAAAGCGCCATATGTATTCTTGGAAACCAGGATTTGTGTATTCTCTTTCTAGAGTCTAAAATATACAACATGTACTGAGCAGTTAAATTTGTATCATGGTGTGTAATTTATTTTCAGTTTCTCAGCTATCAAAGTCTATTCTGAAATCTGTTTTTAGATCATGGTATAGACTAGTTCTGTGTTAGATTGTTGGCATTAGCAAGAACTTGAGTTTTGAGAAACCTTTAATTGTACTTAAGGATTGCCAAGCTGCAATAGTTGTTGATCAGAAAAGAGAAAGGCATTTAGTATGCAGACTCTGATGGGTACTTTTATCATTTCCTTATCATACTGAGCTTCAGGGTTATTGTTATCTATTTTCCAAAAAAGTAAAAATGCCTTTTCTTACAATAAAAATGTTCTTTTCTAATGTGAGCAGTAGATTGAAGCTGTACAGATTGGCTCTTTAGTGAAATAGGCAACATTCCAGTGGAACTGACAAGCTTTATTTTTATTTGTTGTATTTTTTTCTCATTACAGATGGACCCGATTCAGAAAGCTGTAATAAATCATACATTCGGGGTTCCTCTTCCTCATCGAAGAAAGCAAATCATATCATGCAACATTTGCCAGTTGAGATTTAATTCTGATGTAAGTTTATCATTTAATATTCACTAAAAATGTATTATGCAGTTCCAATCTTGCAGGAGAAAAGATTTCTTAAACATTTGTCTCCAATAACTGAGCGTGTTAGAATTCAGGGATAGGATTTAACTCTGTATATGCTTTAATTTTATAGTTTTTCACATTATATTTGGTTGTTTACTGTAGAAAAATCACAATTATATAGTTTTATATACTCTCAATTTAATATATTTTTTCAGTGTCTTGGGAATGTTAGATGTAGATAATATAGTTAGTATTTTGGGGAATAATCACATTTAAGAGCAATGCAGTTTTCAATAGAGTACACATCTGGAATAAGATAGATACCAAATCATATTTGAAAGCGAAGATTATGGCCTTCTGAACTTTCCTTGTCTCCCATGACAGCCCCTAAGCCCACATCAGCCCTGCATCCTGAATTTTATATGTGTTAGAATTCTCAGGTTACTATCCTAAGAGTATAAGTAATTTAATGGGGAATCCTGAAGACCTTACATCACTGAGCCCCAAAAGAATAATGCTTAAATGGAGAACATCAAAGAAGGGAAATATTTGTGGACCTGACCAGTGATTTGCAAGTTATTCAGAAGGTTACTCACACCTTTTATGCCTTCTGTGAGAATCAGCACAGACTCTGGATCCATCACAGTGATAATTTTGACTGTGGCCAATAATGAAAAATGTGTATGTCTCCACTCCCACTTCTAAACCTGACTTGGTGTGCAGTTAGATGCAAAAGAAAGAGGAAATATTGGTTTGTAAGGAATACAAAGTGGAAACCATAAGCAAATGGAGGGCTCCATGCATTCAAAGTAGACTCCTCCCAGGTGCCATTACCTTATCATAAATTGATAGTATAGAGATGACCAAACAGATATAGATTGCAGAGAATATTAACACTTCCCGTATTGGTCTCCACAGACAAATAAATATCTTAGGAGGCTCCTTTATGAGGATAGGATATGAGATAATTAGTCATAGGAAAGAAATATGGCATAAAGAAAGTGGCTTGTTTCTTCTGTGAGAATACTTCATGTTATATAAGGATCGTTATGATTTTATGAACTTAAACCTACCAATGCCATGAAATAATTCCTTCTGGTGGCTTGAAAAAAAATTTCCTGCATGGTCCCTGTCTTAGTCAGTTTGGGCTACTGTAACAAAATACCATAAGTTGGGTAGCATATGAACAACAGAACTTTATTTCTCACAGTTTTAGAGGCTGAAAATTTCAAGATTCAGGTACTGGCCATTTCCACATCTGGGAAATATATGGTGTGTTTGTGCTGTGCCTTTACAGGGTGGAGCAGGTGGAGGGGCTCCTTTGGGCTTTTTTTTAATTACGTGGCTGAATCTTGTTCAGGATGGCTCTACCTTTATGATCTAATTACTTTCCCAATGTCCCCTCCTCCTAATACTGTCAGCTTGGAAGTTAGTATTTCAACATATAGGTTTGGCAGAAACAAACATTTATACCACAGCCACTCTTGAATGGTATTAGCTGCTTAAAAACAAAAATACAAAAAATAATAATCCCAATCACAAATTATTTTAATAGAAGAGATTTTTAAAGTTTTTTAAACTTGTGTTTTATTTGTTGTAATTCTGAACACCTTGATTTAATTTGAATTTGAAGAGATTTACAGGTTTAATGTATAACAATAAAGTATTTTTCACGTGATGATTGTTAAAAAATAATCTCTTCCAGCTGTTGTAAAAATGAAGCATCCTAATATATAAATGAGAGTTCTAAACTCAATAGTTGCAATTTTGATCTTTGTAGACACCGAGAAATCATATATTTCCATAGTTGTCATTTTAAGTGGCTCCTTATTTTGCCCTTAAATTGTATTCATATTTCACCTTGAAACTCATTAGACAGAGGTAGAAAAGTCTCCCAAAAAACTACTTTGCCTAAATTACTTCAGCTTCTTACATATGATGATACTGTTTCAAATAATCTTTCTTCTAGTGGTTTCACTGTCAATATTTTTCCACTGTATCAAGAAAACTTCCTATAAATTAGGAGTCCAAAAGAGATTTTAAGGTCATTGAATCAAGTTTCCCACTGATTGCACAAACTGTATCTGCTACATCCAGGGCAAATCTTCAGATGATTATTCCTAGTGATGGGCCACTCACCACTTCCAGACAGTGGTTCCTTTTTTTTTTGGAGTATTTCTAATCCTGTAAATTGATACTACAATCATATTTGAGAACTAGAAATATCATCAGATATACTTTAGATAACGTATGCAGTTACAGATACTTATTTCCTTGATAAGAGAGAATAACAATTTATTTTGCTAATGAAGTTTCAAGGTGATATAGGACTCAATATATTTATTAGTGACAAATGGTTTCTGTCCTCACAACTTTGTTTTTAGGTCTGTCTGGCATATAGTAAAAGGATAATGGCCAAGATATTCTGTGTTAATCATCTATTGCTTCTTAAAGGATTACCAGACACTTAGTAGCTTGAAATAACACAAATATGTCACCTTATAGTTATGGAGGTGTGCAGTTTGAAATAAGTCTGGCTGGGACACCATCAAACTGTTGGCAGGCTCTGTGACTTCCGGAGACTGTAAAGGAGGTCCAGTTCTTTACTGTTTGCAACTTCTGCAGTCTTGTAGAAGTATTCCTTTGCTCGTGAGTCCCTCCCATCTGCCAAGATTGCAACGGCTAGTTCAGTCCTTCTCACCTCCAGTCCATCACCGACCTCGTGATCACAGTGTATCAGCTGGACCATCCAGGGTGATTTCTCTTCTTTAAATTCCACTAATTAGCAATCTTAATTCTATATTCTCACCTAAGCCCCATTCATCATATGATATATCACATTCATAGTTTCCAGGGATTCAGGCTTAATCATCTTTGGGTTGTCATTATTCAGCCTGCCACTATTTGATTACATTTGAACTAAATATCATGATCACTTGAATTTGTCAGACAACTACCCAGTCCAGTTTCTTAGGTCTATGTTGTATAAACTTGGCACATATGAATTCACGGTTCTTACATTGTTTCTTTATCTTGAATCTTGGATATAAATTTAATATGCAGAGATAATTTTTTAAATAGTTCTATTAAAATAGAACTATCCAATGTTCACGTTTTAAATGTCATAAAGTTTTAACTGGCAAGTAAAACATAATCATTGCATAATTAAAATGCAATAATATAAACTTTTTTTTTTTTTGGTACCGGGGATCGAACTCAGGTCCTTGCGCTTGCGGGGGCAGGAGGCAGAACCACTGAGCTAAATCCCCAGACCAATAGTATAAACTCTTAAAGACATAAAAAGTGCCTTTATATACTTATTATGTCAATAAGAGGAACTAATAGGCTAGAAATAATAGATTAGTTTACTTATTGATCAATCATGTCTATAAATACTAATTCAGGAAAATAACTAGATACTGAATGACAAGATTAATTAGATTTATCAACTAATTCCTGTACAATAAAATAATCCCGGGCTGCGGCAGCGGCAGTGGCTGGGGCGGAGCGCTTGGCAGGGCGCCTTTAGTCTGGGGCGCTCTGCTGGGCAGGTCCGGTGGCGCGCTGCTGCCTTGCCAGGAGCCAGAGGCGGTGGCTGCCCAGAGGGCAGTAATGTCTTCCGGTGGTGCTTCTCGCAGGTAAAGGGCGCCGTGGAACAGGACGTGGCGGAAGCTGACATCATTTCAACTGTTGAAATTAATTACTCTGGAGATCTTCTGGCAACAGGAGACAAGGGTGGCAGAGTTGTTATTTTGCAACAGGAACAAGAGAATAAGAGCCGTCCTCATTCTAGGGGAGAATATATGTTTATAATACCTTTCAAAGTCATGAACCAGAGTTTGACTGTTTGAAAAGTCTAGAAATTGAAGAAAAAATTAATAAAATTAGATGGTTGCCGCAACAGAATGCTGCTCATTTTCTACTCTCTACAAATGATAAAACTATTAAATTATGGAAAATAAGTGAATGGGATAAAAGAGCAGAAGGTTATAACTTGAAAGATGAAGATGGATGACTTCGAGATCCATTTAGAATTACAGCACTACGGGTTCCTATATTGAAGTCCATGGACCTCATGGTAGAAGCAAGTCCACGCAGAATTTTTGCAAATGCTCACACATATATAAATTCCATTTCAGTAAATAGTGATCATGAAACATATCTTTCTGCAGATGACCTGAGAATAAACCTATGGAATTTAGAAAGCACAGATAGAAGCTTTAACATCCTGGATATCAAGCCTGCTTAACACGGAAGAGCTGACAGAAGTCATCACCACTGCCGAATTCCACCCACACCAGTGCAATGTGTTTGTCTACAGGAGCAGCAAAGGGACCATCCAGCTATGTGACATGTGTTCCTCTGCCCTGTGCGACAGATATTTTAAGTTTTTTGAAGAGCCTGAAGATCCAGCAGTAGGTCCTTTTTCTCAGAAATAATTTCATCCATCTCTGATGTCAAATTCAGCCACAGTGGTCGATACATGATGACGACGAGAGACTACCTGTCAATGAAGGTATGGGACCTTAACATGGAGAACAGCAGACCTGTGGAGACCCATCAGGCGCATGAATACCTGTGAAGCAATATCTGTTCCCTGTACGAGAATGACTGCATCTTTGACAAGTTTGAGTGCTGCTGGAATGGTTCGGACAGTGCTATCATGACGGGAGTCCTACAACAACTTCTTTAGAATGTTTGATGGATACACTCGGAGGGATGTTACACTGGAAGCTTCAAGAGAGAACACCAAAACCTGAGCCAGCTTAAAACCCTGAAAAGTATGTACAGATGGTAAAAGAAAGAAAGATGAGATTAGTATGGACAGTCTGGACTTCAATGAGATCTTTCACACACCCTGGCACCCCATGGAGAACATTATTGCTGTAGCTGCCACCAATAATTTGTATATATTCCAGGACAAAATCAACTAAAGAAGCTAACTGGAGGACCAAGTCTTGTCTTGCATAGTTAAGCTGGTT